AGAAGCTTCTCTGAAGTTGATAGGTGCATGGCCCACAGACACATGAAAAAATGCTCATCATCTTTAATCATCAGAAAAATGCAAATCAAAACCACTTTGAGATATTATCTAACTCCCGTAAGAGTGGCTCACATAACAAAATCCCAAAACTACAGATGTTGGTGTGGATGTAGAAAAAAGGGAACACTTCTGCACTGCTGGTGGGAGTGCAAGCTAATACATCCCTTTTGGAAAGAAGTTTGGAAAATACTCAGGGATCTAAAAGTAGACCTGCCATTTGATCCTGCAATTCCTCTATTAGGTGTATATCCAAAAGACCAAAAATTACTTTATAACAAAGATATTTGCACCAGATTGTTCGTTGCAGCTCAATTCATAATAGCCAAGTCATGGAAGAAGCCCAAGTGCCCATTGACCCATGAATGGATTAACAAATTGTGGTATATGTATACCATGGAATATTATGCAGCCTTCAAAAAGATGGAGACTTTACCTCTTTTATGTTTACATGGATGGAGCTGGAACATGTCCTACTTAGTAAAGTATCTTAAGAATGGAAGAAAAAATATCCACTGTACTCAGTACTATTATGAAGCCAATACAATCTCTCACACTTTCATATGAAGAATAGATCACAACTATGGCCCAGGATGAAGGAGGGAGGAGGGGGGATGGGAGGGGAACGGGAAGGTTAGATCCAGGGAGAGTGAATGGTGAGATCACACCTGTGGTGCATAATGCAAGGGTACAGGTCAGATCCTTTATTCTGAGGGCTTGAACTGAGATATGCAATTACCTACGCTCTTTATGTTCTCAAGTTCGTTCTTTCTTCTGGCTTGTGCCTCTAAACCTCTATTTGTGGCAACATTTTAAGATAACTTTTTGTATTTCAAAGGCTTTTAGACTTCCATATCATACTTTAGATGCCCTATGACTTTAAAATTAAAAAAGAAAAACTCCTGGGGGGAGGCATCATTCTTGCCTGTGAGCTGAGTTTCGGCATTATAATAGGAATTCACTAATGAAATAGAGATAAAAAGGGCCTCCCACAAGATTTAATAGGGTCATATATTTTGTGTAATTGTTATTTTCCAAGTTAACTTCATCTCCATTTGTGTACCTGCTACCAATTCTTAATGATGTCTAATTATTCCACGTTTTATAATTATATTGTTGTTAATTCCCTTTTATTGTCCAAAGTATTTTGTTTGATGGCATGTGTGCTCTGATTTTTAAGCACATCAGTATCCAATTCTCTGAGATGAACTTCCCTTCACAGCTACCTAGAACATCGAGGAATTTCACTGTCTGTGCACTTATGGGATCTTTGGAAGGAAAAAAGGGTTAATTTATTGTGTCCCTGACAGTCTTGAATTCTCATTACTTTATGGAAAGAATGACTATGTGAAAATGATTCCTTTTCCTCTCTTTCAGGAGTTACAACATATTGTGGGATCCCAACATATCAGAGCAGAGAAAGGTAAGCATGGGTCCATAGTAATATTTGAAATCCGGTGGATCAGTACTCTTTAAGCTTATATGGATTCTCTCCCCTTCAGCTATGGTGGACAGTACGTGGTTAGATGTGACGAGGAGGGGCAAGCCTGAAACTCAGCCTTTTGCACATCTCACCATTAATGCCACTGATATCCCATCAGGTAAGTGCCATTTGCATCCATCTTGAAAAATACCTTATGAGTCATCTATCATTTACATACCCAAATGTACTTTTGGCCTATTGTCAAACGTTTGAAAGCCCTTACTTCTAGTTTCATTATCTTATTATTACTTTTTGTAAGAGACAGGGCCTTGCTTATTGCTCAGGCTGGTCTCAAACTCCTGGCCTCAAGCAATCTTCTTGCTTCAGCCTCCCAAAGCGCTGGGATCACAGGTGTGAGGCATCATGCCCAGGCCTGAGAGCCCATACTGCTAAACCAAAAGAAAGGTTATTAGCCCTCAGTTGGTGATCCACATCCTGAGAACAGTGATTCTCAAAAATACCAGAGCGGACATCACCACTCCATTCACGTTCAAATCATCAGAAATGGTGTTTGTTTTAAATGAGTATCAGTTAAGAGCTCGAAACTTGGACAGACAATATCTTGTCATGCTCATATGTGTTTCTCCAAGCTGAAATTGACACAGCTTGAAGGTGAGTGAATTCATCAGGTAGTCACATACCCAGCCATCTTCTGCAGAGTTCCAGGTAAGGGACCTTTCAGAGATCTCCCTTTAAGAGACAGTAGGCTTCTAGAAAATCAGTCCTCTTTTCCTCCTTCAGGTGTTCTCATTTTCTCCAGGTAATGGCTTAGTTCAATGAACTCGAGACTGATTATCTTTTGAAATGAAGAAACCCAAGGCTCTGTGCCTACAGCTACCTTAGTGTACCAGCCATCCCATCATATAACCCCCATGACTTCCCTCACCTTGCATCAGTAGGGACCAAAAAGATTACAAAGAACATTGTGAGAGAATGATAATCGAACGTGGTCATTATTATTACTATGCCACTTGTCGAGCACCTACTAAGCATCAGACACTTTTCTCTGTATTCGTTATCACTAATCCTTATTACCACCCTGCAAAGTAGCGGGTATCATTCAGACTTTGCAGAGAGGGAGATTAAATGATAGGTAGTTTGTCATTTGTTCAAGGTCACAGTGCTGGTAGGATTAGAGGTTGAATTCCACCCTGGTTGGTTCCCAAGTGCATGCTTTTTATGGTCTCCATTATCTTATAAACAGGCCACCGGATACTTGCGGTCAGTTATGTTTGCCAAAGGGATCTAAATTCAAAGCTCTCACATTGCTGTTTTCCTGTAAAAAGTAAATTAGTCTCATACCTAATAAGGGGGGCTCCAAAATCAGCCTTCTTGGGTTTGAGGTCCCACTGTACTCCTCACAGTCTCTGTGACTTTGTACAAATTACTGGAGTTATTTATGCCTTAGCTACATTGTATCTAAATGTAGTAGCTATCTACCGCACAGTGTAACTAAGATTAAGTCAGACAACGTACTCACATTCTCCAATGGAAAATACTAAGCACCCAGTGAATGTGCTTTCTGTTTATTGTTTGAGTATAATTAATAGTTATACATATTTCACTTTTTTCTACAAGTAATTTAAGGAAAGTTTTTCTTGAACTTAGAAAAGTCCAAGTCATAATAAATGATTCTGAAGCCTTTCTTGTAGCATGGGCTGTGGAGGGATATTTCCTGAATGAAGGCACAGAAAATGAGAAACCATCCTCCTTGGAGGATTTTCCGAACAACCATCCCGTCTCAGATACCTGCTTTATGAACAAATTTTCTCTCTTTGTGTCTATGCGTGCTTTTACACTAATTTTGTCTGAGTGGAAAACCATTTTGCATGTTAGCAAAGGCAATCAAATTAATACTGATGCATCTCTATTAATTTCTCTGAGTGGTAAACTATTTTGCATGTTAGCGAAGGCAATCCCGTTAATACTGCTGCATCAGCTGTGTCTGTTATGAAGGTACCAGCATACATTTATCTTTTCAGCTCGCTTTAAATAGCATATGATAAATATTGCATTAGCCTGTGTGCCAAAGTCTGTTTGGCAATAGCAAGCATGTTTTAGTTATAAAACTCTCTCTGCAGGCACCTAGCATCGAATCATTGCCAGAAAAACAAGGCAAACTCCTGGTTATTTTCTGACAGTTATTGAGTTTGTGTCTGAGTGAAATGAGTTAGAGTATGCTTCTGTTTAAGAAAATAGAATTTGCTGCTCTGGCTGAGACAGCACCCCCTGGGACCATTTACCGCCCAGTTTTGGCCGGTCCTGGATATTTCAAAGTCAGTTGGCTTTAATTTTGTGTATTCATTTTGGAGCTTTGTTTAGTACTCATTTACATGGACGAAATCAGAATCTGCTTCATGTGTACTGTTACTTTGTGACTTTTCATGCTTAGTGGGGTCCCGTAACTCTGAGGGATGCCTTGCCTTTGAACCACTGGGTTAGTGCTGGAGCCTTGTCTTCAAGCTCTGACATTCTGGCTTCTCTATGGTTTAATTTGCTGTTGAAACTGTCTACTGAATTTTGAAGTTCCCCGAGTGCCTCCTGTTCTTTAAGCTTTGTTATATTCCTTCTAATTTTGTCCAGATCCATGGAGACTTTGTCATTAATTTTGTCAATTTCTCGAGACATGTTTTTAGATTTCCTTTTGCTGGTTTTCTACTTTCTCTTCAATTCCCGTCATCATTTTTGCCATCCATAATGTGAATTGCATTTCTGCCATGCCCAGAATTTCTTCAAAGCTGGAATCTTCTGTGGTAGCTACACTCCGATCCCTTGGGGGAGTTGTTCTGTTCTGATTCTTCATGTTGCCAGACATTTTGATTTTTTTCCTTTTTTGCTGGTTTCTCCTCCTGTGTAGTTTCTTCTTCTTTATTGCCTTTCTGTACTTTCTTCTCTCTCTTTCTCCTTCCCTTATTCTTCTTTGACTCTAGCTTTGAGGTTAAAAGGGCCCTGAGGGTCCTCTGGTAAGACGGATCTCTTCCTCAGGGCCCGAACAATCCACTCTTCCATTCATGTTTTACTGGTCTGTTGGCTTCCTCTTGGGCTCAGCCGGGGCTCTGCACAGGTGACAGTGAATCAATCTGTGTAATGGGCCCAAAGCAGAGTGCTTGCCTTGTGCCTATTCAAAGCTTCTTGAATATGATACATTTGGAAGTATTTTATGAGGTCAGAACAGATGGCTTTCTTTAGGGGGACGCTTAGGCTAAATACAGAGGATGCCAAGGAAATGTTATACATTTTGAGAAAGGAGAACATTGTACTGAAATTATAGTACTGAGTATATCCTGATAATGTTCGTCATCTTATATATTGTATCCTTTATCTCTGATAATTGTAGAAGTCAAATGTGACTTGAATACTACAATTTTAATACAGATTTTTCCTTTCTTAAAATTTGTTTACATTTTTTTGGCACCCTCTGCTACTTGCAGAGGCCCCTTCTCCGGACCCTAGGCTAGGGTTGGGGGGACTGGGGAGCTTGGGCTCAGAGGTCATCAGCATGTCTTACTAGGGGTAGAGACCCAGGTTGCTATGCGAGGCCCTCCAGCCTGGTCATAGCCTATTTTTCTTATCTTTTCTCCCAGAATTGTCTGTTTATGAGGCCTCTACTCACCCTCTTTGGCTTCAGGTTCCTTCTCCTGTATGTGCGCATGTGCTCTATTCTTCGTTCAGTTTTCCTCACTGACCAGACTCTTTCTTTTCTCAGCCCACCCAAGTTTGACCCAAGCCCATGCTGCCCTCTGGCCCCACTGGCTCTGCAATGAGCTGAGCTCTCCCGACTGCCATGGATTTCTTCAGCTTTCACTCAGCAACTGCGTGTAACTGAACATCAACCATGTGCTATGCAACATGTAGAAGTGAACAAATCATAGTTTCTGTGCCCATTCCTTATTTTCTTTGCTACTGGCAGGACATGCCATGAGGGTACACATGCTTGACATAATTCTTAATTATGGGCAGAGTTAATACCCATAGAAAGTGCCACATCAGTGTTGCATGACTGACAGAATGAATCAGTGAATGCATGGGTGAATTAATGGATAAAGATAAAGAGATATTTGGTAGGAAATGAAGACACTTCTTTCCAGTTGACTTACCGAATAATGGGAGTGGTATTTGGTCAAGGTTCCTGTCTTTTCCTTTCTCTATGTCATTTTCTTTTTCTGCCTTCCCAGACCCTATCATGCTTTAATACTAGCTGATCTGTCCCACTGAGAGAGTAGACGTCATCTAAGTCAGTCAGTTTCTCTCTGTTCAATGATAACAATAAGATGAATAATTGATGGAGGAAAGGGTTGGCGACAGGAGTAGGGAAAGAAGGAGGGCAGTATGGGATAAGTTGATATGAGAAATATCCTGAACTTTGTTGGTTTTGTCAAGAATTAGGTGGCTGTTTACCCCCTTAGAGGAATTTCTTTACTAGTGTTCATGAGGAAGTGGTGAATAGAGTCTTGTAGTTTCATGTTGACTCAGTTGGAACCTAAGGATGGTATTTACATTTGGGATGCTTTAGTCTGGGATGACCCGAAGATCTCCAGTGAAAATAAAGGATGCTTACTGTGCTGGCCCGGGAGGCAGTAGTGCCTTTTGTGGCCCTGATGTGGGTAGCTTGTGGAATTCAGTAAGTATCCTGTCCCAGGACAGAGAGATGGGAGTCATTGAATTCTTGGCCTTCTAATGATGGATTGTCCCACTGCAGCATGGCCCCTGCTGCATTATTTTTTCTTCAAAGTGGTTCAAAGAACCGCCTGTTTGGTTCTTGAAACAGCCTGGTTTTAGGGTTCCCAGATCACATCCCAGGCTGCTGGTGGTCCTCAAGAGATACTAAGAGATTCTTCACCTATGGATCTCTAGAGAGATGTAGATGTTCAAGGTTTCCCAGGACTTGGGCTAGGCAGGGAGGGTAGCCAGTATGTCTTATTCTAGGAGTAGTTCTGATGTCCTAAGGATTCACTCCAACCAGAGAGAGTTGTTAGTTCCGATGGATCCTTGGAATCCACTACAAGTCTAAGTCTCTGGGCTAGTTTCTGTCCCCCAGCATCTCAAGACCTGACCTAAGTTGTGGGCAGGCATTACAGACATTACATGCAGCAGAGAACTTCTCTATGGCTGCAAAAATGAAGCCCACCCCCAGCCTCAGATCACCTCTGTTTTGTCTTGTTGATTCCAAACAAGTGACAATCTTAGCATAAGTATTTCTGCAGGAAAAAATGGTTTTGGAATTTCCATAGTATTACAACCTGCCCCCTCCCCCATTACTTACTATCTTTTCTAGTTGAATAATAAATAGCCGTCCACATAAATACAAATGTTTGATTAGTTGGGTTTATCATAGAGGTATTGGCAATTTTTAAAGACCCAGTAAAATGCACTAAGGACCTGAAATATGAAAAGCATGGAGCACATTGCTGATTTAAAATGTTCTTTAGAAATGTATACTGTTAGATTCTTCTTAGTAAATTATCACAAGAAAGAAAATGTAAGTATACAAGGTACTCAGTAATAATATGAATCTAGTAGATGATCTAATACATGGCCCACATAAGAGAAAAACTCCATTCAACTCAAGTTGGGGGAGGGGAAGGAGGGAGAGGGGAGAGAAGGGCAGAGGGGGGAGGGGTGTGCTCCCACTGAATGGGCACAATGTAAGGGCATATGACACATCTTTTGGGTAGGGGACACAACTACAAGAGAGATTCTACCTGACAAATTCAAACACTGTAACCTAGTTGTTTGTACCCTCACATTAATCTGGAATAAAGAGGAAAAAAAGGAAAAGAATACAAACAAGGAAAAGAATGTTTACTGTTCCAGAAACAGTAGCAGGAGGATCAGTTGTTACCTCATTTCTGGTGTGAGAAAAGACCCAAAGAGAAATGGCCAAAAAGGATCATTTCAGGCATGAGAATGGGCCAAAGGTCAAGGGCAGTGGGTGTTTACAGTACTTTGGTCATAAAGGAGTGTTTGAAGTTAAGCTGGGGAGTGTAATGCCAAGGAATATTTTCTTTTTGAGCTTCTATGGGGGTAGCTATTCTCTTCCTTCAATCTGGAATGACCTTTCTGCTTTGTGTGGTTGAATTCTATTCCTCCTTTTAAGTTCTCAGGTTCAATAGGAACTCTACAAAGCCATTCTTGATTTCTTCCTCCTTTGAATTCTTATAGCAATTACCTGCACCTTTTCTGTTAGTGCTCAGGCCTCCCTTCTTATCTGACACACACGTCATATCATACTTATGCCCAGTGCACTAGAGGATTCCTGGGGGGAGGGGGGCAGAAAAAAATGAGTTTTTGTCTTTGAACCCATTGATGTGCCTAAAACAGAGCACTAAATACATCTGAGTGTATTTCCATGTTTTTAGAAAAGAAATTCCAAGAAGTTACTCACCCACTGGAACACTGACTATCAATGTATTTTTCTCTCTACCTTCATGGAATGACAAGGATTTCCTTTTCAGTTAAGGAGTGGATTTTAATGACGTGCCTGTCTTCTCCATAGGTTCCCATAAAGTGAGTCTGTCTTCATGGTACCATGACCGAGGTTGGGCAAAAATCTCCAACATGACGTTTAGCAATGGAAAACTCATAGTTAACCAAGACGGCTTTTATTACCTGTATGCCAACATTTGCTTTCGACATCATGAGACTTCAGGAGACCTAGCTAAAGAGTATCTTCAGCTGATGGTGTATGTCACGAAAACCAGCATCAAAATCCCAAGTTCTCATACCCTCATGAAAGGAGGAAGCACCAAATATTGGTCAGGAAATTCAGAATTCCACTTTTATTCCATAAATGTCGGAGGATTTTTTAAGCTACGATCTGGTGAGGAAATAAGCATTGAGGTATCCAACCCATCCCTACTGGACCCAGATCAAGATGCAACATACTTTGGGGCTTTTAAAGTTCGTGATATAGATTGAGCCCCATTTTGTGGAGCATTATCATATATTTCTGTTTGGAGACTTTTTTTTCCTTTAAAAAAAAAAAAAGGCTGAGAAAGATGTATATAGGTGTATAGGTGTGTGAGACTACTAAGAGGCATGGTCCACAATGGTACAAGACTCATTATCCATGCTTTTGCCCTGCAGAGAGTATGCAAACCTACACCCAATGGGAGATATTTGACTCATGTCATGCTACACAATGGTTTTCAAATTTTGTAATGAATTCCTAGAATTAAACCAGATTGGGGGCAACCAATTGGTTGGCTCTATGAAAAACTGCAGTTGGGTTATGGAGGGATTAATTCTCTGGGTCTAGCCCCTGGTTGAATGCCACTATACTTGAGTGGAGAGGGTAGGTGTCATCTGTCGCAGACGAGGGATCCTCTGAAGGGGTAAGTTCTTTTGAATTGTTACATCATGCTGGAACCTGCAAAGAAATATGTTTTCTAATGAGGAGAGAAAATGTATGTATTTTTATATAATTTCTAAAGTTATATTTCAGATGTAATGTTTTCTGTGCGAAGTATTGTAAATTATATTTGTGCTATAGTATTTGATCCCAAATATTTAAAAATGTCTCGCTGTTGACATATTTAATGTTTTAAATGTACAGACCTATTTAACTGGTGCACTTTGTAAATCCCCTGGGGAAAACTTGCAGCTACAAGGAAAAAAAATATGTTGTTTCCTAATATCCAATGCAGGATATTTCTTCATTCTTTTTAACTTAAGATTTTTTTTCAGACTTGTCAAGCCTGTGCAAAAAAAAAAAAAAGAAAAATTGAAAGGGATGCCTTGAATAATAAACAGGATGTTGGCCACCAGGTGCCTTTCAAATTTAGAAGCTAATTGACTTTAGAAAGCTGACATTGCCAAAAAGGATACATAATGGGCTACTGAAATCTGTCAAGAGTATTTATATAATTATTGAACAGGTGTTTTTTCTACAAGTGCTGCAAATTGTAAATTTTCTTTAAATGGGAAAGTTATTAGTGGTTTATCAGCAAAAACATTCAATTTTTAATTTAGCAGAACTTATTTTATACTGTATAATACAAACATTGCCTTTGAATGTTATTTTTTTTTTTGTACAAGAATAAATTTATATGAAAACCTGCCCTGAGATTTTGTCCTTTTATGTCTGTCTTGCTCTGTGATCCTGCTCTTTCCCATATGGTAATGTGGCAGCCAGCTCTTTCCAAAGGTGACGGGAAGAAATGCAGATTTAATTAAAAATTAGGAACAGATTCAATTAAATTAATGAACCTAGGAATTTAAAAAAATAATTTGCTAGGGATTTGTATGCAAGAAAGTAGCCAGATAGAACACAGAGGCTTCTTCACTCAAAGAAGAAAAATTTATATTGTGTTGATATCGTGAGAAAAATAATGTTTCTTTATATAATTTTGTAATGTCCTAAAGGACAAATGTTTGACCTGGAGGCACATCTGGCTGTATGATACTTCACCCCAGTGAGGAAAGACTAACGGTGGCTTGGAGTCTTGTCTTCATGGGAATTTGTGTGGGGGCGCTGTGTCTCCCAGGTGGGCTTCTCGCCTGAGAAAGATATAAGTAAACAGGAAACTTGAGAAGACACCGTAAACCATAATTTAAAGCACTTGCCACTTGTAGGTAAATGTTTCTAGATGGTGGTAACAGGATATAAAGGGAGAAGAAAGAACAGATGTTACCATGAAGAAACTATGAAGTTTGAACAACAGAGCTATGATGGTGAAACTCAGTCAATGACCAGTATACATATTTTAAAACTCTCAGTAAGTCTGATTGGTGTGAACTATGACTTCAGTGTTGCATGTCCCAGTTGCTGAGCCTTGGTTTAAGGACACATTGTTTTTGATAAGCAAGTAGAGAGTTTCTCCACTCTCCATTGACACAAAATCTTATTCTTTAGGGGGCATGATTAGCTCCCCTGGCTCTTATAATGATTCGGTCATTTCCAAAAGTGGAAAACATTTATCCGTTTGCTTGTTTATTCATCATTTGTTGACACCAACTTGGTGCCAGGCAGTCTGAGCACTGCCTCGAGGAGCTTCTGTTCTAGTGTGGAGGCTACTTAGTCATGTGCGGAGCACGCTTGACCACAGAGAGGAGCCTGTCAACCCCATCTTGGGAGTCACAGGTGGTCTGAAAATGAAATCAGGCTGGGTAGGAAATGGGGCAAAAAGCTCCAGAAGTAGATAAAGAATATCCTTACCACTCTCAAAGATGGCTAAGACCCAAGGTCCGGGAATGGAAAGAACCTAGGGTCCAGCAAGGGAGTATGTGGTGGCTCCAGGCAACATGGGGTGCTGATGTGGTGTATGATCTGCACGGCCAAGGGAGAGCCTCAAGAGAAGACTCCAGTAACTCAGCCTGACTCTAATGTGATTTTATGTACATGAGCACCCTGGTAGGTCAGAGTCTTTGAGAGCTTTGTTGAAATGAATCTAGGACTTACTGAAAATTGGGTGGAAACTCATCTGTGTCTGAAAGGAGGCAGCAAGTGGACATGCCAGGAGGCAGGAATAAGACTTTTCTCTTTTCTAGTCATGCTCAAAGCTTGCTGAGAGTGGGATCTAAAGTGCAGAATACAACACCTACTTTTCCCACTCACGTGCTAATTCTCAATTCAAGTTTTTAATTAACTTTCCCACTCACACGCAGATTTTCCTTCTTACTCATCCCTTTTCCCCTTCTCTTCTGTATGTCTTTTGACCCTCCCCTATTGTCTTTCCCTGTTTCCCCCTCATGCCTGCTCTTGCCTTGGAGGACCACTGAGTCTCTCTGGTGGCCCTCAAGGAACCAGCACGCTGCTGTGTCAGATTGGGAGGGAGCCAAAACACATCAACACTCAGCAACGGCTAAGTAAATGTGTGAGTTGTGACAAAATCAAGTCAGGAAACCAGCACATACAGGATGCGACGGCAAACTGAATTGTTTGCTCATTTTCACTACTTCATTTCAATCTTCTTCCTAACACATGCCAACTCTGAAGGAAGGAAAGCATGCCAAACTTACAGTCACCCGTCTTCTTGAAGGAGCATTTACAACAACAGCAGACTCATGCAACCGTCCATCTTTCCAACACACCACGTGTGCAGCCATTCTTGTTAGCATGCTTCCTTCCCCCTTTCTACCTGTTTCCTTTTGTTTGATTCATCTCCTACAGCCCATAGAAAAACATCCAGATAGAAAAATATCTGGAGAAGATGTGGAACTATTTCCCCAGTGACTTTGCTGGGAACTTGAGCATGCTTCATCCTTCCCCTCTGCCTCGAATTACTGGTTTGGCCTGAGACAGTGACGTGAGGTGACACTTACACATTTTGGGGGCAGAACTTTGACTCAATTTGCAGTTCCGTGTCCAGGCTGGCCAAGCACACACTTGCTTCACTTTCAGCTGCATCGATTCTCCCTTTTCCTTGCTATGAAATTGAAATATGTTTCCCAGTAGCTGCATTTATAAATGCTAATTAGTTATTGATTCACATTATTGTGATTTAGCCTTGTGTCACTTTTTACAATAAAAATATGTACACAGTGAGTGTTAGATTTTAGCTATAAACCAGAAATCTATCCTTTTGATTAATAACACTTTTATGAGACTTTCACTCTTCTGCTCTTGTAATTAAAAATTTTTATTTCCTAATCATCTGCTCTTGCCTCCCTTCCCCTTTGTTGACTGATTTTCTTTGCAAGGGGCTTGTCACTATTGCATCTTGGCCAGTGCTTTTGCTATTGGTCGTGACAATCTATTTGATATTATCAGATGTGGACAAGTTACAGAATTATTCATATTGCTGTTCACAGGCTCTGAGTGTCTGTAAGGAAATCCCATAGAGCTGTCTATTCCAGTTGGCTACTCCATTGGCAGCACTCAGAACTCAGAATCAGGGCATCAAAGCTGGTTTTACAGACAATAAGTTCTCCCAACAATATTAATAGATGCTTCAGTCTCCCTTAAAAAGGCCCTAGGATCATGGCATGTCACTCTTTTAGGTAAAAC